ATATATACATCATATATATATATATATTACAGAAAGGGGTGTTGTGAGCGCTAAAAAAACGAAATTTTGGGGATATGTAGCCTTGATACTATGGATGGTTTCATGTTTTTTTGCGCTCAAAACAGCCTGTGTGAGTAGGACGAATCATTTGATATACTAAGCAACCAATGTCTGCTGTCTGCTGTCTAACCCGAACTACAAAAATCCTCCAACCCGAACTGCGCAATCGTCTAACCCGAACTGCAAAATTGTCGTCTTCGCAGTGCTTAGTCCTGCGAAGATTCGCGGATTGACTCGTGACTTCTTCCTTTCGACTGGAGCGAACCAAAAAAAAAAACAAAAAAAACAAAAAAAAACAAAAAAAAAACAAATAAAACAAAAAAAAAAATGTTTCCACAACTACTCTGATGTCTGGACTAGTTGCCAAATCTTTGTTTTTTTTTTTTGTTTTTTCGAAGTTTTGCATCCCAGGATTAATCCAGATTAATCCACATCAATTCTGCTTCATCCCTTCTCTAACGCATCCCAAACAATGAACTACTTTTGCTTTTAGGAGCTCTCAGCTCCCCCCAAACAGAAAACTAAAGGATAGGTCCTGGCATTGCTGTTATCCCTAATTGCTCTCATTCGCGTGTGTTTGGCTGTCGTTTATCCACTCATGATGCTTCTTGGCTTTCTTCTGCAGAACGGCAGCCCCTGGGAGTGCAGTTTTCCCATGATTTAAGATGATATTTTGAGATGTTTTACTGATTCCCCAAGGCACTTTGACAGCTTTGCCTGTGATTCATGCCAGTTTCCTTGAAGTACCCCACACTTGGTAAAAACCTTGGAAAAACAAAAAAAACACAATATTTCTAGACTCTTTGGAAGGGGGGGTCCCAGCCAAGACTCTCTGAAACTTTTTTTTGTTTTTTCCAAGTTTTTTGTGTTTTGGTAACTTTCAGCCATCTGCACCTTTTTGTAGACTGTGTGTTCCAATTTTGAAATGTTCGGCCATGTCCTAGATAATAACCTTAGTTTCATGCTATACTTTTTTGAAAAACATGTTGTATAAATTGGTGGCACACTTTGCTGAAGTAATACGACCATATTGCATCATCGATGGAATCTGCTGTAGGCTCATGTTACACTTTCTTGGAGGGATGCTACACAGATTTGCCAAGAAACTATTCACTTTTAAAACTACATATGCATACATAGACACACATGTATATATATATATACATACACATACATATGTGCATCTTCAAAGGAAGGCTTTCCTTGATTGACACAGATTTTGCACAGTATGCAGTAATTTGACATTTTTTTTTTTCCGAGCAAATGCTGCACTAGTTTGAAAGAGATATTGTAGGTAGTTGTGCTACTGCACTCTTTTCATAGGCATGTAGCACTTGCTTACATTGCCATGATTATATTTGAATAAGTTCGCATTAAGATTTATAATCTATAATTACAATTTTTTGCGCATTGTTTGAAGCCATATTCTACTTTGTTCGCAAAGAAAGGATATTGCACATTTTGTTGACTTTTTGAAAGTCGAGTCACATAGCACCCTTTTCAAAACAAAACAACATTTCCATAGAACAGTTGTACTCTTTGAAAGGATATGCTGCAGAAGGTGGTGCAATACTTGCTTTACAACAAAAAACACATATTTTAAAAATAGGCTTTTGCATCATCAATGGAATCTAGAGTAGGCTCTTGCTACACTTCCTTACAATCATGTTGCCCACTTTGCAAACAAGAATCTGCACTTTCAAAGGTAAAACGCATGTTTCAATGTGTTAGTAAGATGGCGCTCTTGTCAAAACCATGCTGTAGTAATTCAAGAATAGATTCAATCTTGCAAAACAGCATACTATATACATTTTTCCTACAGGAATGCTATGATTTCTGAAATCATTCAGTACATACATAGGAGGGTTCTCCTTGAAATTGGGAAGTAATGCTACACATCTTTCAAAGAATGCAACAATGCGTGCAAAAGGTTGTTGCATACATGGAGGAATGGTGTTCTTTATGCACAGTCTTTTTACAAGTGATGTTTGCATGTTTATTTCCTTCATTATTTATAGAGAACAAATTGCATAAATTGGTGCCTGCTTAAAATGCACATTTTTTTAAATGCTACTTATCTTTCAATCAATGCCACACTTTTTGCAAAGGGACTGTTACATTGAGGAATGGCGTTCTTTATGCAAAATTATTTTACAAGTGCAGTTTGCAAATTCATTTTTCCTTCATTGTTTATAGAGAACATATTGCATAAATTGGTACCTGTTTAGAATGCACATGTCCAAAAGAACTATTGCATATGTTGAGGGAAACTCCTGTAGAGATGTAGAGCCTATACATTTTTAAAGCAATGCTGCACTCTTTGGAAAGGCATGACCAAAAGAACTATTGCATATGTTGGGGGAAACTCCTGTAGAGATGTAGAGCCTATACATTTTTAAAGCAATGCTGCACTCTTTGGAAAGGCACTTACACTTGTTTGTTTTGTTGTTTTTATCTATCATTCATGTTTGCTTTGGCTGAAACAATGTATCTATGTAGGACATTGGGAGAGCTGTTGAGAATGCACAGTGGTTACTTTTGTTACAGAAGCAACAATGTTTGGTTCTGGAAAGAACAGGGTTTGGTATCTTTTGCAGAAATGAAATGTCAAAAATGCAAACATTTTGGCGCTCACAACACCCCCCTCCCATATATTATACCATGATACACACATTACTCACATTGCATAAAATGATTTGTAATTCCTTATAACTTCAATCTAAATCCCTATAAATGGATGATAGTTCTTGGATCCAGGTGGTGGCGCGCCACAGTCACAGGCGCCATTTTGTTTGAGCTTGGCTAAGCATTGCGTTCGTTTTGTAGCAATTAACCCCTCAAAAAAAAGGATAGACCAGCGATTCTTTTACTATTTTAGGGGGATCTTTCTGACTTTTCAGAAATGGATGCTCAATGTAGTTGTTCTATTTCTTTTACTCTTCTGCATCTTAGGACACCCTGGTTTTGACTCCAAAGAGTCAAGGGTTCTCCTGTAGGTTTGGTCTCAAAACAAGACCAAGGGACAGTATCTGGGATGTGAATGATTCTATTTGACTGAGATATTTGTTACTTGTCCATGATATCCCAATGGTTTGGGCTTTCGCATTTGTGCTCATCCACATTTGCAGCACTGATATGTTTCATCATTTCATGGATCCTATTTTGCCTTTCAAAATAGGATCCATGCGGACAGTATCCGAAGTATCCCCACCATTATGAGTTCGATAGATCATATACCCTCTGGTTATTTAACATAGCCATGGAAGCCATGGCCCATTTATAGATGATTTTCCCATAAAAACCTCCATTTATAAGGGATTTTCCATGGCTATGTTAAATAACCAGATGGTATGTTTTTTTTGCTGGTCCACTAGTTTTCCGGGAATTGAGGAAGAAACGTGGTCGTGGCTTAGTTATTTTGAATGATGTTTAGTGTTGCAATGGCAGCGCAATCTTGCAGCTAAACAGCTAGAAATGAACGATCCCTAGATTTTTTTTGTGAACTGAACATTGCCTGAAGCTATTTAAAATGCTTAGAGCACTGGAAACTAAAATTATACATGGGATAAGTAGGTTTAATCCACTTATAACTGGGGTGAAATAACCCACTTACTAAGTGGGATGAGCCGCCGAGTCACATATTTACGGTGTTTCATAGCTACCAATAGTTTTCAACTGGTGCAGAATTTATTGCATCCACAGTACGTATGTTGATCCAAAGAGTAGTGACCACATTCCAACAATCCAGGACACCCCTATATGTCATTGGAAAAAAAGACATAGTTTCCTGTATGTTTTGTTTCCCTCAAACTAATCCATTGATGTTTGCCATTAAGTTCCCTGAATTGGTTTCATTGTTTTGGGAACGTATATAATGTGTTTCACATTATAACCCCAGTTTACATTGTGTTTGTTCCCTAAGAAAAAAACAATATCTAATTCCAGTTTATAATACGGGTTTATGTAATGATATATATATATATTCATAACCTCAGTTATAGGATGTTTTATCTACATCAAACTAACTCTGGTTGGTGGTTTGGAACATGAATTTCATTGTTCCATATGTTGGGAAGTTCATCATCCCAACTGACGAACTCCATCATTTTTCAGAGGGCTAGGGCTCGACCACCAACCAGATAATTACCATCAATAATCATTGATAATCAATAATCATTATATAATCATCAATAATCATTATTAAGGGTTTTTAACAATGATAATAATAATTACCAACCAGGAATATTTTCCCCTTGCCACCAGCTCTTTGTTGACCATACCTGCAGATCAAAGCCCAATTCGGCGCACTCATCCCTCGCAGGCGGACTTTGCTAAGCAGATGATGAGCATCGGCTTCATGCCTGTGCCGCCACCAGTGGTGCCTGAGGTACCCCTGCTGGAACGAAGGTGGTTGGCATGGCTTCCCCTTGGTGATGCAACGAGGATATATTAATATACTGTATAATATATATATATATATATACACATTGAATATATGTATATATATATAATTATATATAAATATATACATGTATAATAGGTTTTTTGATGCTTGAACAAATACTTGGATTTTCCTGGTCATGTTTGGGCAATTTCTGGCCACTGTTTGGGCATATATGCATTATATCAGTGATATGCTGGGGATGAAATGGGTTGTGTTTGACCTGCCGTGCTGAATGGCGGATTTAGCAGCAATTTGTGGTTGATGGGAATGTACATATGGAAAAAAACGGAGAGAATCATGGGATATAAAAGAACTAATATGATATTTGGAAAGTTTGATGGTTCAAAAAAATGCTGGTCAATGACATGATTGAATTCTGCAGCTTGTTAGCTGCCAGCTTGCACCATGTTTTGCAGCGTTGGATGCCTCAAGTTTTTCCGGCTCAAGATACCCCGAGAGACAGCTGACCAAAGCTGGTAACCCAAAAAAAAACGGCATGTGTAAGTCCGAAACTTACGTGCTGGACGCCAGCTTCAATCCCGAAGAGTTTGTGGAGGATATCAAGAAGGCAAAGGCTGCCGTGGGAGAAGCTACCCACGAGGACGATGAATGGACCGAATGGAAGGGGTACCAAGGGACCTACGTGCTGTCCCCGTTGGATAGCTAAGTCGGTTTAGTTCAAAACAATAAGTGTTGAGTTGATTCGGGGAATATATATATATATATATATGTGATGTACATATTATATACTAATATATGGAACTAGTTAGATGATGTTAGATTGTGTTGGAAATCAAGAAACATAACCGGACTGTGGGGCCCACTTTTTTAAACATGTTCATCATATGAACAAGTTCCATTTCTCACAAAGGTTCCATTTCGCATTGATCCACCAACTGATCCAGAAGATGGGCCAGCGAAATCCTGCACCAGGGCCCGGATCCAGTTGGTAGATGGGCCAGCGAAATCCCCAGTTGGATATCGTCCCACTACTGTCCCAGTATTTCATACAATGTGAGGCCCCCAAGATAGCTAAGTTGGTTTATAACTCCAATAACCATGGTTTATGGTACTTATAACTATAGTTACTGGGGCTTATAAACCAACTTATAACTGGGGGGCCTCACATTGTAGCTATCCCAATAGTTCCCAACTGGTGCAGGATTTCGCAACCCCAGTGTCACTAACTCCCCCATCGAAAGCCAGCGATGCCAATTCTCTTTGCCACCTGAGCAGTGGCTGCAAAACCCCGGTTGCTTGATGATCACTTCGGGGATTATACTCATCTTCACATATTTGGATGTGGGTCAAAATGGAAGACCTAGGGGACCACAGATGTTAGTCTAGTTTAGTATTAACCATCCAATTATTGGGGTACCTAATTTTGACCCATACCCATTTTGCAACATCACCATCCATATTCAGCAACAAAAACTCCCCGTTCTCAACCAATTGTTCAATGGACGACTTCTCCTTCACAGCCAAAAAAAATGAACAGCCACCGGAGCTGCCACCGCCATTCTCACCACAGGATGCGCAGCACTTGCAACGCTTGGTCTTCATTTCTCAAGTCCTTCTCTACGGCGGACATGTCCTGCTGCTGACCGGTGCAGCGCTGCCGTTCGGCGCGACAGCGCTGCTGAGTCTCAGCGCAGGCGAGTTGGTTCCTTCCAAATCTGATTGGGTCATGCAAGATTGCTATAGTCAATGGTTTTTTTTTTCCGGGAACAACTATAGTTTTCACACCCACATTTCATGTCGGAGAATCGGAAAGCCAATCCTGTAGATTTTCCCTGATTTTCCAATCCATTGGTACAGTTGGGGATTTGTTGACAGTCATGAGTCATGACTCCTGATTTTGATGTTTTGCAGGTGCCTTGATGATCGCCTACGCGAGGTGCATGAAATGGGCCATCATTGGACACCACGTGTCACATGGAGGTCCGACGATGCCGTTGCCGCCTGGGGGGCATTGCCTGCTTGGCACCACCTGGGATGGTAGAAAGCCTATAAATAATGGAATGGGATAAACCACCTAGAAAATTGAAACATGTTGAAACCCTATAAATAATGGGATAACCATGGATAAACCACCTATCAACTGGTGCAGGATTTCGCAACCATCCACCGTATGTTGGGCAAACATGGGCGAAAATTCGATGATATTTTGTTTACAAATTATAGTTTACGAGTCATGATTTACAGAAGCAGAAGTCAACCCTGTTGGAGTTGACGTCCCAAGATTGAGTTGTTCAAGGGTATGTATGATAATCGATGTTCTGCCTTGAGAGTATGATTCGATTACAATTTGGAGAACACCTGGAGTGAAACAACTTGGCAGCCTGACTGAAAACAGCCCCAGTACCAAGCCGGTGACTTGCCACATTCTCACGAGGGGTTGCTCCAACGGTTGACGGCTTAGTTTTTCCCGACCTCACGAAACGGGATTTGGGATGATTTGGGGTAACTATTGAATAACTATCCTCAAAATGGCAAAAAAAATCCGGTCAGTGACTTTTGATCATTTATCCAGATTGCTTGATTTTAAGCCTCTTTTTCAATGACCCATTGGGTGCAATTTCCAGTGGCTCTGCGGGACCAGGCTATGACAGCTTGCAGAAGAACCATCCGGATGCCCTGCCCAAGCATTACAAGCGAGGAGTTTTTGCCATTGGCTTCCGCAGGTTCTTCGATTGGCTCCTATGCTTTGCATTGGTGCTGCTGAATGGAGTTGAAGATGTTCCCATGAAATCCAGCTGGGGGAATGGATGGTTTCCTTTTTAAGGAAGGATGGGGTCCTTGATCAGATCCAAGGAGGATGAAATTCTTCAGGTGATGTTTTTTGTTCATTTCCCGAAATGGACAATCTACCCGCTTGGGAATTCGTGTTTGGGCAATCTACCCGCTGGTAATTTGTTACATAGGTAATTATTGAAAATCCCCCATAGAAATACTTGATTTTCCCATCAAAAATTGTGATTTTCCATAGCTTTCTGTTTGTTTACCAGGGGGTACAGGTTTGTCTGAAAAGATGTTATCCCATGGCATCCACGGGTGAATTGTCTCCTGCGTCCTGACTCAAGATTGCTAAAAAAATGGTGATTAGACAGTAGACTGACTCAGTCACTGACTCCATTTGTCCGACAGACCCAAATATCATAGTGGTTGTTATAGATACAGTGCCATTATATCCAACAATATCCCCATTATTACCTCATGATATCCTCATATAACCTATTTCATCCCCAGCATAGTTTGGTTTATGTGACCAGTAAATTATGTACAATGTGAGGCCCCCGTTCGATAGCTAAGTTGGTTGAAAAACTTTAATAAGATTAGGGGGTTATATCGAACTAGTTACTGGGGCGAATCTAAACCAACGTTCACATCACTGGGGGGGGGGGCACCACCTTGCAGGTACCCAGGTACCATTCACTATTCTATCCCCATGGTATCACCATGATATCCATCACCACATATCCCAGAGTATGACCAATGATAAATTACATCAAGTACTAGTCAATCTGTCATTCCTGTGCCTCCAAAATGGGTGTACCTCCAAATCATCCAAAATTAGATCAGTTTGGTATTGAAACCTCTGGTGTGGGGTTTCCCATTTCAAGACATATCATGACATATCCCATTGTTGCTAATGAATCAGTATATTCCTATATATTCCCACAATACATCCTCTGTGTTTATTTGGAAGCTGGGTGTTTTCGCTTGACGTGTCCACTGTCGCTTAGCGGCTTCAGGTTGGATTGGATGTTGCCCCAGGCTTGGGATGTGGAGCATAACAAGGCCCACCACTACTACCTCTCAGAGGCGGGCAACGGTGATTGAAAGCCGTTAAGGCCTCGAGTTTGTGTCACCTGTTGTTTTTGTTTTTTTTTAATGGGGATAAACTATATCTGATTGGTGGTCTGGAACCATGGAATTTTATGACTTTCCATTCAGAAAAGGGAATTTCATCATCCCAACTGACGAACTCATCTTTTTCAGAGGGGTAGGGCTCAACCACCAGCCAGATAATTACCATCAATATTCATTGATAATCAATAATCATTAATCATCAATAATCATTATTAAGGTTTTTTAACAATGGCAATAATAATTACCAACCAGGAAGCTAGGAAAAACAAGGGTTCAATCCACTCTCAGTATTTGATGGAGATAAGCTATTGGTTGCCACCGATAGAGCCCTGGAAAACATCTTGATATTTCATCTATATTTCCAGAAACAATAGCTTATTTTGGTAAGTATTTTGGCTTATATATATACACATATCTGGATATATATATATACACATAAGATATAGATATAGAATATCAATATCAATATAACTATAATACTATATATATATGTACACATACATACAATTATACATACCTTTATTAATTATCCCTATGTATTCGAGATAGATTGAATGAAACTTTCGAGTTGACCGAACTTTTTTTCCAAAGCCAACGTTGGGGGGTGAGGAGTTCACCAACATTGTTGCTATGTCGTTCTTTGTCGTTATTTGTCCTTCTATCTTTTTGGATTTTACCCTACAATAATCAGCAATATGACATAATATGATGATGTTTCACAGGATATAATGGGATATAATGGAAAATTATAGAATTGAAATGGTAGTGGGAAACTAATGCAAGAATAGTGGAAAGTTAATGGACAACTGATGGGAAACTAATGGGGACAGAATGGGAATAAATTGGAAAATTTGTGGTTTACCCAACTATATGGCAGTCAAGCAAGAAAAATGAGAGTTTATCAAGAAACAATGGGAATGAACAAAACATACATACTTGGAAATCTTGGAATATGTTGGGTGCCGTTTTGGGGGTATATAGCAAACAATATGAAACACACATATATATATATATATTTATTATACAATCTGGTTATTTAACGTAGCTATGGAAAATCAGCATGTTTTAATGCGCAAATCAACATGTTTATCATCTATGTGTATGGGCCATGGCTTCCATGTTGGATAACCAAGGGATATACAAATAGACATTTTTATATATATATATATATATATATGTATACGCATTATACTATAGGTACTCTACCATACAAAGCCATATGTTGGAGATATATCCCCTTGCATAGCCCTTACGTAGACCTTGTATATGGTAGGTACCTTCAATAAATCAGTTCCTGAAATGGCCACTGATATGTATATATGTATTTATATGTGTATATATTTATATATACATATCATTAATTATATATATACATATTTATATATATATATATGTAATGTGTGTATATATATATATATGGTCCCCCCAGTGATGTTTGTTGGTTTGTACACCCCATGAATAAACAATTGAAAGATGATGTTCTCATTTAAAATTGTGATTTTCCCATTAGAAATTGTGATTTTCCCATTAGTTCGTTAAATCATCCCTAGATCATCTTTAATTCAGCCACTTCTGTACGGCAACTTATAACGCGAGCTCGAACGGGGATTGTTTCTGGCGATAGTGACTGATGAGAGGATGAATATAACCAGCAGTATATTGGGTAAAATTTTAGGAATATACCCAATATATCATCCCAGATAGAAGCTTCTAAGAAGGGGATAATCCCATATTTTACGTTTGAATGCACTAAGAAAAATAGAAACATTACAAAAAACAATGCAAAAACACGCGTCAATCATCCGTAGATGAGACATCACTGTCGCCTTGTGTACTCACTGCAGGATGGATATGCATGGATGTTAAAGACAAATAACAAGCAGATATCCATAGATTCATGTATATAGGTATCCATCCATCCATCCATCCATCCATCCATCCATCCATCCATCCACTGTATCTATCTATTGTGCCTATTTACATATACATCTATGTATATATATATATATCCACATATAGATATAGGTATGCAGCCCAGAATTGGATGATGGGATATTGGTGCGCAGGAAGCCCTTCCTTTTTGCGATTCTCCCCTCAATGAATCCATTGACCCAAAGATTGATGGTACCCTCTGGTCAACAAGCAAACAAAAAGCTATTGAAAATGGTCCAGTCGAAATAGTTGATTTACCCATGAAAAATGGTGATTGTCCAGTTCGTTTTCTGTATGTTTACCAGAGGGTAAATCCCATTAAACCAGCCATGAATTTATGGTCGAACCTCCATGAAACCATCGAAGTTTTCTTGATGCTTAAGCTACACAATCTATTTAAAATGGATTTTCCCTCCAGAACAAGATAGTTTGCCCTATTTTTGTTGGTCAGATCCGAAAAAAATGTTACAGTTACATCACGATTGCTCTCCATGTTTGATATCTCCGTTGATGATTCAAGCATAAATTCATGGTGACTTTTTTCCCCATGGAAATCTATAGCTTTTTACCGCACAGTTTCCAATGATAAAAACTGCTGAATTCATCATCAATTTCCCAATTAGATCATCGATGTCCCACTTAAATCCACCCAGTTCCCACTGGACAATCCCCATCTGTTGATGCAAGCAAAAATGCCATAAACTCCACAGAAATCCCATAATTTCCCATAACCATCCCATGGTTTCTCACATAGTTATCTCATATTTTCTTGATCAATCATTAAAACATCACATAAACCACCATAAAGATGGTGTTTTATGATGTTTTAATGATTGATCATAGTTATCTCGTAAAGATCATCATTTTCCCGTAAAGTTTTAAAGCACCAAAATTTTCAGGAGAAGGATCCAGACCTCGTTGAGCACAACTTCGAACTGCTCCGTGCCATGCCTCTGCCGAAAGCGTTGAAGTACGCCTCGATGGCGCTTTGGGTCTTCACGTGGAAGTTCACCTACTATTCACCCAATACCTACAAGGACGAGAGTCGAAATGTGGGGCAGCGGGATTTTTTGATGTTGTGATTCTATTATGTATACATACAAATATTTATTTATATTTATGTATATATAATTAAATTATGTATATAATTATATATATACATATATACATAATTATATATATATATGTATATAGAATATGTTTAGTTATGTTAAGTATATGTATTGTTATTGTTTGTTGTGTTTTTCATTTTAATACTCGTATGATTTTATGTATTTATTGTATTACGACTATTGTGTTGATGTTTTTTTAATGACTCTGATTATTACTAATGTTGTTATTGTCCTGTGGTTAATTGTAACATACTGTACATACATATATACATATATATGTACATTGTAAATATGTGTGAAGGGATATTCTTATTTGTACATAATTCACATGTTTGAGGGGATATGACCTACAAGGATTGTTTGGGCTGATTGAGCACGAAACAAAAGTGTATGAAGCAGCAATGGTTGGGGTGCTGATATTTCCTGAAATGGTTGGGTTGAGAATCATTTGAAATGGTGGCTAAGTAATGGTTCATCCTCAGCCAAGATGTTGATAGGCATTTATAGAGAAAATATCCCCGATCCTGAATGATTGCCAAGTTCCATTTTTATACCTGAACCAAAGGGGATATGATTCGTATCCCCAGAACGAGAGATGTGTGCAGGGAAACTGGAAATATACCCTCTGGTAAACTAACATAACTATGGAAAATCACATTTTTTAATGGGAAAACTCACTATAAATGGCCATTTCAATAGCTATGTTAAATTACCAGAGAGTAAACAAACAAGAGGGCAGGAGGTTGATGGTGTTGTTCATATCAGCAGTGGTTGTCATATCTACAAGTACCAGCAAATCTGGAGGTATAAGTAAGCACTCGCTTCAATTTGTACCCTCTGGTAAACATACAAAAAACTATTGAACATTGCCATTTATAGCTGATTTACCCATTAAAAATGGTGATTTTCCATAGTTTTCTGTAAACGTTTACCAGGCCGGGTATTCACAATTTCAGGTATCTAAGTTGGAGGTACCTACCATCCTGCAGTGGATCGCTACCTGGCCAGTGATCAGCCATTAAACCAACAAATAATTTGGATTTATGTATCAAAACCGATATGTCACCAGCATACATTTTATCTCAAACAGGTGAAACTCCAGTTGTTTTGGGTTCATTTTTGGCATGTCTTGTTTTTTTTGCATCTAGGCATTTGGATATAAATTGATAGAACCAATCAGACAGGCTGTGGTGGTCTCATTTTTTTTGGCCTATTCCGCAACACATAGTACATGGCATATATGATCTGGAGGACCTAGAACGACCTCATGTCCTAATTGAACAGTGGCCTTATTTCAGACCTTATTTCAGGCTATTTTCAAGTTGGTGAATTGTTTAAAAAAATCAGCTCTCGATACAGCAATCTGGGTAATTTATAACGACCTCACTGTTCTCCCTCGAATGATGGTTAAGGGAAATTACCCCCCATAGCTGGCCTTATTTCAGGTCTGTGAATTATAGTTTGCCCAGAGTCCCAATGACTCATCCATTGAATTTTGTTCGAGGAGTTGGCGCTGTCCAAAAAGGACCGGACGACCCGATTCCTTCAGCAGGGATTGTATTGGTGGGGTAAAGCCGAACGGATTCATCGAACATCGTTTTCAGAATGGGTATAGATAATGGTGAATTTATAATGGTATAGAATATTAATGAATAATTGATGGTACAGCATGAACTGAGATGAAGCTTGATTTTTGCTTGGTTGACTTGGTCAAGATCGATGATAATCGAGGTCAGGTTGCGCTGTCGAATCGTTCTGCTGCGTTGACAACGTGGTTTCCATAGTAATGTGGTAAACCCATATGCTCCATGGTGCTGGAATATTTACCAACATTTGCCCTAAAAATCACCCAGTTTTGTAGGTAAATAATGGTAAATAAACCATACATGGAGCATATGGGAAACGCAATACCAATCTCAAGTTTACCCGGATATCATCAGTTCGCCAAATATCAGGCCAGAAAATGAAACTACCACAGATGGGTAATCGCAAGTTTTCAATGGGCTCAGAAACCTAGCTCCCGACTTGCATCCCCATTTCCTATTTTCTTACATCTTTAAGCTAGTCACTATTATAATTTTAAGATATTTTAAGTATATGTCCTCCGATAATCAAATGTGGCAATGGAAATTCCACCATTTATAGATGATTTTCCATGATTTTCCAACGCATGCATAGGGGATGTTCCATTGCCCCGTTTGATTACCACCATAATATCCATCAGTTGCGCGTCTCATGATACGTGAATGATGCGCGCGCATGCGAGGCCTTGCAAGTTGGTGGTGAGCCATATACATTACCATCTGGTAATTTAACATAGCCATGGAAAATGGCCCATTTATAGATGGTTTACCTGGGTTTATCTATTAAAAAATGTGATTTTCCATGGCAAACTGTTAGTCATAACCAGATGGTATCATTTATAACCAGTATGTTACATGTATATATATATATATACATATAGCTCCCCAGCACTTTATACATAGCTCCGTATAGCTCCATATAGTTCCCAGCAGTTTATATATAGCTCCCCTGGAATTTCATATTGATGGACTAGCCTCTGGTTATTTAAGCTATGAAAGATGGCCCAATTACAGATGATGTTCCCGGCTATAAACCTCTATTCATTTCATGGATTTTCCAGTTCGCTATGTTAAATAACCAGATGGTATATAAACTAATGTAAATTGAACGTATGTAACATGATATCATGTGTAAATATAAATATATATATATATATATTTTTTACAATATATATATACATATGATGAGGATGATAGTTTAATATTATATGATTATATCATGATCTTATCAATCTTATCTCATATATATATATTGATGAGTTATTTTGCATGCAAATTACCCTCTGGTTATTTAACATAGCCATGGAAAATAGACCATTTATAGATGGTTTACCTTTAAAAAACATGTGATTTTCCAGTTCACTTTGTTTGTTTACCAGAGGGTAAACCTCCATTTTTCTATGGTTTTCCTATGGTTTTCCTATGGTTTTCCAATTTCCAGAGAGTAAACCAACACAAATAACCTGCGGATAACCAACCTGTGAAGAATTCACCAGGACAGCTGGTTGGCCCGCAATTGGCCTAGCTGGTCCAAGAAAACGGATCCCGTGGTGGTCTTCGACGCCCTGCGGATGCCGGTAGAGGCCTTGTGGATGCTTGGAGAATTGCGAGAATTGATATGGATTTCATAGAAAAACCATAGGAAAATGGTGGTTTAGTGAGTTTTTTATGGTGGTTTAATGGGATTTAATGGGATTTACCCTCTGGTAAACGTTTGCATAACGAACTGGAAAATCACCATTTTAATGGGAAAATCACTATTCTATGGTGATTTTTCATAGTTATGTTAAATTACCAAGGAGGGTATAAGGTGATAAGAAATATATATGGGATTACATGGGATGACTATACTAATATTTGGAAGTATATCCCATATATCGGATGTCTATCTATTGGTTACATCCTAATGGTTTATTATATAAGTGATTAATCTTATATATATGGTAATATTTGTAGTGATTTAATAACAAATATGGATATGGGTCAAACTACCTATGAACTTACCATATGTCTGGGAAAATAAGTGTCCATTAAGCAGCTGTGACTTAGGGTACCGTTTAGTGCCGGGGTGTTGACATTATGACAATTTTTTTTTTGGGGGGGGGTAAACCATGACAAATTGTGATTTAATATTATGTATAAATGGGATAATGGGTATTTATGGGATATTTAAAAGGATTTGATGGAATCATGATGAATCATGTGCGGATTTGCGGTTTGTTGATGATAAACGGCTGATTTTCTGGGAAATCCACGAAAAAGACTAGGGAATCTTTCTTGGGATCTTTACACCATCCGTATATTGGGTATTTTTTTGGGGAAATATACCCAATAGATCATCCCACATAGAAGCTTCTATGGCATGGGGTGGATCCCATATTTTACGTGAACGAATGCACTAAGAAAAACAAAAACATTACAAAAACCGTCTGAATGGGGATGATCCCATGATTTTTGGTGCTTCCTCAGCAAAATCAGCAACTCCAAGGAAGGGGAAACCGAAGGATGCCCTCTTCTGGACCGTTTTTTTCGCGGAGCCCCTTGGATTTTCCCGGAAACGATGGTTGGATGCGGGCGCTGATAGGAAATGGCTCATGTCCCTGGATTAATGGTGTATATCCCCACTTATATGGGATAATATATGGGTTATATATGGACTATAAACCTTGGATCCTAAGTGGGATAATCTAGGGGCATCCCTATTTCATGAAAATCTAAAAATGGATAATTTAGGGGCACCCCTATTTCAGGAAATCCCCAAATGAAGCCACTTCTTGGATGCGCATCCCACTTAGGAAGTTGTGTATATATATATATACATATATATATATAACTATAACCCATATTTCATCCCAGATAACCCAGTGGAGACATGCCATTATTATTATTATTTTTTAATCTGCTGGTGAAAACACCCATTTACCAAGTGGGGCCGGCACCCCCAAGTTGGTACTAAGAGGGATGATGCTCCAAGTATAAACATGTTCATTTGGCCACCATTGCAGATGATTGTCAACATTTGTGAACCTGATGTAGCCAGTTGGCTATGAGTCAAAACCATGGCGCCCGGATGGTACCCTAAGTCATAGCTGATTCAATCAATTCCCCTAGTCATATGGTAAGTTCATAGGTAACTTAGCCATCTCTATATTTGTTATTAAATCAAATCACTATAATTATTACCATATATCATATCATATATATATATGAGACGATCATCACTTATATAATAAACCATTAGGTAACTTTTCGCCATCTCCAGGTGGAGTCTTGCAATTTTACCCATGCTCATTTCTGTGGCGCTCCCTGCTGTGTGGCCGCTCCTCTTGGGCCACTTTGGGCTTTGGTTTGGCGCCAGCAGAGCGACAGAGGCGGCCGTGCGTGCTCTGGTGACAGCGGTGGTGGCAGATATGTTTTCCAACGCCCATGCCTTTGCCGCTGGGTTGGTGGTTTTAAGTCTTTTCTTGTTCTGAGAGTTGCTTCCAGATATTTTGCAGTTGTATAAAAGGGAAAATCCATCTATAAATCTATAAATGGATGATTTGGAGGTACCCCCATTAATGGAAACCGTTATTGTATATTATATATTATGTGTTTGTGGTGTCACAGATTGTTTGTTCTAGCAGTTGATTTTCAAATGCGTGCAAAAATTGTTCGAAAATGTTATGTTCCATCCAGCTGATTCTTGTTTCCGCTGGTACCAGGTCATCATCGCATGCAACCATTCGGGCGGCGATCTCTACCGCTACTCCACCTCGTGCAAAGCATACTCTGCGGAGTTTTTGCTCCGTTGTGCCTATTCCTCCGCCAACTTCGAGTATCTGCTTGGTGCTTTGAGAAATGTTTTAAAATGGTTTAAAGTAGCAATCCCCACAACAGATGGGTGGTAGATATACCACCCACCAGAATTAATCAATGAATCAATCATTCTCGGATGGGCTCAAATAATGAGGTGTGGTAATGATTTGGTGGACATCACCTATGGCTGGCTGAACTACCAGATTGAACACCACATGTTCCCAGACATGACTCCTTTGCAGTACCGCAAGTTTCAGCCGCTTGTGAAGAGCATCTGCAAGAAGCATGGTGTGATGTATGTCCAGCAGAATGCCCTGAAACGCACTTGGATGATGTTTCAGGCGAGAAGTTTAAACCATCAAAAAAATGGATATATATATATATATAATTAATTAAGACATGATGGTTGTTTGATGATCAAGGGTTAGTAAATGTTAGTAACCTACCTGGCTTATTGTGATTATGACATATTTTATCTGGTTGGTGGTTTGGAACATGTTTTTATTTTCCATAATATATGGGATAATCATGCCCATTGACTTTCATATTTTTCAAGATGGTTATTGCACCACCAACCAGTTATGTTTTGAACCCGACACTCAACCAACTAGTCTAAAGACATGATGAAGTGATTATTTTTACCTATTATTCTACAGTCAGCCATGAGCTACTATCTCCCTATCCATTTTTAAACCATTATCACGGTCATTTTATCAATGCCCTGCAAACAAACTTAATTAAGTTGTTTATATAGTGAATATATATATATACACATATATATATAGATAGATAGATAGATAGATAGATAGATAGATATACTGTATACAGATATACATATATATATACATACATATATATATATATACATATATGCATATATATATATATACATACAGATATATATATATATACATACAGATATATATATATACATATATGCATATATACATATACATACATATATATATAGATACATATTAATACACATATATATGCATATATACATATATATATATATATGTATATATATGTATATATACATATGTATATATATATATATACATATATATGCATATATACATATATATACATGCATATATACATATATATATATGTATATATATACATATATACATACATATATATATGTATATATATGTATGTATATATACATATATATGTATGTATATATACATATATATATATACATACAGGTATATATATATACATATATGCATATATATATATATATATACGTATATATATATATATACGGAATACAGGTATATGTGTACATTCATATGTTATATATGATATATACATATATATATATATTCATGTACACACATATATATATATATATATAGCCCGTCCCCCTAATATGAACCATCCCCAATTGATGGTCCCAATTTTGTGGTTTCATCCCACAAATCGTGGTGTCCGGCTCTTCAATAACGGGGGATGGGATAATCCCTCACATATATATATATATATATATATTTGGTAAATTATAACGACCTCACTGCGATCTCACTGGAATCATGGCTAGTCAGTAAGGGAAATCATCCCCAAATGGCCGCAAGATTCAGGCTAGTGAAATATGACAATTTACCCAGTAATATATCTTATATTATATCCAAGTGTATACAGCATCCATGGGCCCCATTCGCAATAAACATCGGACCGATTTGGATCTGCAGGTGGCTGTTGGTGATGCAGAAATGAAACGCTGCACTGCTTTAGTTCCTCCGTCAGCGTACAAGTCTCCTGTGGAAAGTTCCACCGTCGCGGGGGCGTAAACCTGCACAGATGGGCGAAATGTTATGGCCTTTTTTGTGGTTAGCAAAAGATGCGGCACTGAAATCATCAGCTATTTGATACATACATCAAGTAATATTCATATATCTATTAATGATACACATAGATTATTTTAGATGGTGATTAAGCCATCCAAGTTGGTTATGAAATCGTCCTTAAGTTTGGTCAATAATGTTCAGCCAACCCCATGAGACTAGATCGAAGTCAGTCTTGGATGCCTCATGGTCGGACTGCGCCGGGTGTCGATGCGCGGCTCGAAAATCGGTCTATTTTAGAAGACACGCATCGTTGTGCGGACTGGGTGGAGAAACCTGTTGAAACCCGGGAGAATATAGATCTAATGTAACTTCATTATTTTCATGGCTATATCACCATGTATTAAACTATGAAATATCACCAGTAACAACTATTTGCTATCCAGTGGTTTTTTAGAGGGAGCGCTTGGGAGCGGTTAGGTTTTTCCAATGTTTTTTCTATCGAATGGCGAGCCAAGGATCTACTAAGAGTGGTACCACCCAGTGAAACAGCCGACAAAGGGCCGGCCCCCCTAGTTATGTTTGCTGGTTTAAAACCCCGTCCAACTATAAAGTACTACAGATATATCCCCCATAAGCCCTAGATATGATTATAAACAAATATAATAAACCAAGTTAGCAAGAATCAATGATTAATCGACTATAAATCAATCATTTCTGATTGTTAAATTACCATTTCTCGCAGCGAAAACAGTGATTTGCCAATCCCTGATGATTTTGGATCTCGACAAGGTGGGCTTCCGTTTTGGATAGGGATAACGTTCAACCCATAATTGGACAAATTGAGAAGGGGATTCCCAGTGAATCTTTGATGGTTTGATATAGTTTAACGTGGTTCAACATAGAAAAACATATATTGGAGGGTAACCATCGCTTAGGAAATTTGTTAAGATTGAACATTAATTTATGGCTTGACATGGTTTTGCCAAGAAAAATGGCAAATTTTGGGATGGGTTAAGTTACCTACGAACTGTCCCCGACTGGGGGAATAACTACCCACTAACCAGCTATGACCAGCCGGGTACCATCAGATCTGGGATGATAATGACATCACCAGCAGCATCGTGCTGGGCCATGGTTTGTTTGCTATGGATTATCATGAAAATTGGGATCTAATTAGTGGTTTATAAGCCATTAAATCCCATGAAGTTCCATTAAATCCCCATGATATTCCATTAAATTATATTTTTTGTGGTTTAGGAGCCATCAAATCCCATTAAATAATTACATTAAATTCCACTGAATCACATGTTTTTGTGGCTTATGAGCCATTAAATACGATTAAATTTGATTAAATCACCATTTGTGTGGCTTATGAGCCAATGACTCAGGAATTGCTCACTTTTTCCCATGGCCGGCCCCGTCTCTTTCCGTAGGTCATGGGCGTCTCTGGTCCTGTTCCAAAACGACCCGTGCAGGAGAGCGTTCCCCCGTTGGTTGGAGAGTGTGAACAGTTGCCGTACAAAAAAGTGGCTGAATTCTATGGTTTATGGTAGTATGAATTACTGGTGTTTTGGAAAATGGTGATTTAATGAGGGTTTATGGTGGTTTAATGGGATTTAATGGGATTTACCATACTAAGAATGGATGATGAATGATGATATACTAACATAACTATGGAAAATCACCATTTTATAGCTGGGTAAATCAACTATAAATTGCCATTTTAATGGGAGGATGGTGGTGACTGGAACCATGGACTTTTGTGACTTTCCATATATTGGGAATGTCATCATCCCAACTGACGAACTCATTTTTTTTCAAAGGGGTAGGTATACCACCAACCAGCTATGGTTTATGGTAGATCTAACGAACTAGTATCCATGGGGTTTATACAAATTTATAAACCAACTTATGGCCCAACTAACAGTTATTTTCATGGGTTTATGTCATGATATATAACCTCAGTTATAGGAGTTTTGTTTCTATTTATAACTGTTAAGGGTCATAAGTGCATGGACTGTTGATGGGATATATTGAGTTAATGTAATATAAATGGAATATAGGACGATAATTGATGGGATATACTATGTAATATGTATGGAATATAATGGACTATCATGAACTATCAAACGTGGTAATAGGTCAGTTAATGGACTATAATCATGATCAACCTTGCTTCGACGCGAACTAGTACATGCTAGTACTTTAATCTGTTGCTATCATTAATGGTAAACAGTACTAACACGTTGGATATCCGTCAACTGTTAGCATTGGATCGACTTCGTTATGCTCGCGAACTTTTCTGTGATGGGCCAGAATTTTTGCAGAACTTGGTGCACATTGAGTTTCAGCATTGCCCTGATTCCTGGCTCCATGGCCTGATGGCTGATCTTCAATGGCTCAAGGTTTTGGTACCACACAGGATCCCGGACTTGCAGGGCTCCGATATGACGGCATTTGTGGACTTGTGGCAGCAGCCCACCACACCATGGAAGAGAATCCTCAAGCAGGCTTGGAAGACGGCACTTCTGCAGGAGCACATGATGGTTGACATTCAAGTTCTTCATGGGCGCATTTTTGCTGTCTTAAAGAATGGAGGAGCGGAGTTCACCCCTGAAGGGGAAGTGGCACTTGGGCCTGCTCGCAATGAGGTCCATGTTTGTGCCTGCGGCAGGAGCTTTGACACTCCGCAGGGACTGGCGCTGCATCGGGTGCGAGCACATCAAATCTATGCGCCAGAACACTCTATGACATGTGGCGCAACTTGTCCCCAGTGCTTACGGTTCTATTGGACAAGCGCTCGACTCCAGCAACACCTCGCGTATATACCAAGAATCGGAGGTGTTAATCGTTGCTACCAAGCACTCATGGAGACGGGCTTCCAGGGGCATTATGTAGCAACACGTTTGCCCAAAACGCTCAAAGGGACAATCCGCTTTGATGCCTTGCAGGCGGCTGGGCCGCAAATTGATCGCCCTTTGATCGCAAGCTCCCAAGCAGAAGCAGTTCTGGCAGAGATCCAGGTCCTTGAGGAGGAGCTCGCGATCCCCATTCAACCAGAAGATCCACTACAAGAAGGTTTACATTTGGGAGAACAACTGTCCACCTGTACCCGTATCTGGATTGAGAGATATAGAGGTCATGCAAGAGAAGACATCCCAGTCAGTGACATCGGGGATTGGTGGATGAAGTTGCTCTTCACCTATGATGACTGCTTTGAACCTTGGACTGAGATGGTCTTCCTGACGTGGGGCCAACATGTCCTGCCGGACCTGCTGGGCACAACGCTGGATGGCTGTGTGGAGTATGTGGTTGAGGATGCCTTCTACGACCTCTACAAGGTTCTCCCGCGCACTGAATGCCTGGATCGTATCGAGTTCTTGAAGCAGAAGCATGCAAGGCTCCAGGCGGAGGAAGCTGCCCCGAGCAGGCCGCACAGACCAGTGCGAACTGGGACAGCCAATGCAGGAGAGCGTAGGCGCACAGTCCAGCAGGTGCCGTCTTGCTACGAAGCACAGGCTGATTGGCTGACGGCGATAAGACAGATGCAATGGCGAGCCCTTCCAGCAGACCCTACTGTGCCGATTTATCGATCCCTTCAAGGGCGACCTCATTTCCTGATTGTTCACATTTTCTCGGGACGGCGCCGAGAAGGTGACGTACACTGCTGTTTGGTCAAGTGGGCACAGACCCGAAATGTTGATGTCACGGTATTGTCGATGCACACTGCCGTTTCAGTGACCTATGGCAATTTGTTGTGGCAGTCGGTGTCCTGGAAGCAGCTTGTCCAATGCTATGAGCGAGGATGGGTGTCCGCGACAATTGCAGGCACACCATGCGAGACCTTTAGCGAGGCACGCTTTCAGGAGTTGGTGGCTGCGCCCGATGATCCAGAAGCGCCCCGCCATCGATGCCAGCCACGACCTTTAAGATCATTTGAGCGGCTCTTGGGGTTACCGGCGCTGACGCAGCGTGAGCTAGCACAGCTAGGTGCAGGGTCGATGTTTTTCCTCCAGGGCCTCCTACTTTTGTCTTTTCAAATTGTAGGGGGAGGGTGTTATATTAGTGAGCATCCTGCACCACCACGGGACGCTACACGGCCATCTATATGGACCTCTCCGTGGCTCCATGTCCTACGGCAGCACCCAGACCTGAAGTTGCACATCACTCCGCAATGGCCATTTGGCGCGAGCGTGCCGAAGCCCACGGGTCTTTTGGCATTGAGGCTTCCTCTGTTCATGCGCTCTGTCTATCGCCATGCTGAGCCGGGTGCAGTGAGGCCCAATGCGGTCGCAATTGGGCGCAAACCTGATGGGTCGTTCAGAACGAGCGAGCATAAAGAATACCCGTCGAGGTTTTGCGCAGGCCTTGCCCAGGCCGTTATTGACTTTTTGGACCACACCCTGCGCACAGGGCGAACACGTTTAGTGCCGCCACAGGGAGTGGATTTTGAGCTGCATCGCTGGATTAGTGAAGCAAGGGAAGCATGTGCAGATATCCGCCAAGGAGCGGTGTGGCTTCCGGACTACCAGCGTTTGTAGGCCATTAAGTTCAGTCTTTGTGAATTCTTAATTCGAGAATCTTTGCAAGTCGCAGCAAGGGATAGACTCTTTCAGGCAGTGAATGAAAATGATGAAGTATCTAAGATTCACCATGCAACCAACTATTAAAGGAAGACTATAATGGAACTATAATGGATATAATGGACTATAGTGGAATATAATGCCATATTGATGGCATATGATCGCACATCATGGAGTGTAATGAAATATTGAGGGGATAAAATGGACCCATTAATGGAAGATTAATGGGTCATAACCCATATGCGAATCATGGTGCTGGACTATGCACACCAACATTTGCCCAAAAGTCCAAAATCATTCAGTTTTGTAGGGAAATATGCCAGCACCATGGTGAGCTAATCTGGGTAATGGCGGCAATGAGTCACTGGAGCTTGGGGATTTTTTCATTGCCAGGTTGGACGTTTTTATGGGGGAACGGTTTATAGCTTACCCTTTAGGTAAACTAACATAACTATGGAAAATTACCATGTTTATTGAGAAATTCCACTATAAATGGCCATTTTCAATAGCTATGTTTGTTTACCAGAGGGTAATCCTGAATATGTTGTTTGCCATAAAACGGGATGGAATATTTGATTTATCCTGTTGTTAGGAGTGCTTCGGGGCTGCTGCCATCCATATTCCCTAGAAAAAAGATGAAAAAGAGGGGACGATTTGGAGCTACGAATCATTGGATTGGTTTACGGGAAAATTTACGGGAAACATCAGGAACCCCCAATGTTTGATGGTAAAAGCCATGGTTTCCTGTAGATTTTCCCTTAAACCAATCCAATGAACTAAGACTAAGAGTTTCCCCACCACCTCATAGTTAAGGTAATGTAAACCCTGATAAATAATGATGATAAAACCCTGCTTTATTGAGGGATTTCCCAGAAAATAGTGATATGTTGCATTATGCCACGAAATGGTGGAATACTTCATGACACAGGTCAAATGCTTTCACATTTGACCTGCCTCTTTTCTATAGATCCATGAAAACTGGGAGATCCATGATCCCAGATGCTCCATGTATGGAATATTTACCTACATTTGGGCAATTTTTGGGGTAAATGTAGGTAAATATTCCAGCACCATGGAGCATATGGGGGTGATATGGGGAGTGTGGACTGAATACAGCTTTCAAGACTTACTCGTAAATGCGTTCAAATTTGCCATCAACCGAGAAAGCCTCGGCCCTATTGGACCCTTTGCTTTACTTTCATGCTCGATATGAACATGGCGGAATCTCTTCTTTTGACGTCGACATTTTGTTAAACAGAAACAATTCAAACACCAAAATCAGCTGAGGTAAACGCATTTGGGATGATTTATAGTCATAGCTTTATAGCACTCATGTGTGGTAACTTTGGGGATTGCTCGTTGTATAGTGGGTTTCCTATAGGCGCGCTAGATAGCTGTTTGTTCGTTCAGTTCACCACAAAAACTGTTGGGCTGATTATGGGGATATCTCGAACTACTGAGATGGGGTAACATCCACCAACAACCATAAGTCGGTTTTTAACCACATATATATATATTCCCTTATATCCCCCATAAACACTAGTTTACAACGTTTGGGGTCCCCACTGTGTAACAAAACAACATCAACGCACCAGTCAGGACGCTTCCGCGTTTCCACAGCGTCCAGATCGTCCTCCTCCACCGCCCAAAAAGGCGGCCACCGGTGGAATTTCGCAGCGCCTTTGTTGATTTGGAGGTTTCCTAAGTCATGGTGGTCCCCCCAAATCATCCATTTTTCTTTGGGATTTTACATGAAATAAACCAACCATTTTGGGATAGCCTCATTGTTGGACACCTCCATTTAAGTTACAACTATGGCCAACAGTGAACTGGACATGGGATAATTGTTCACTCTTGCAACTGGTTGGTTGTATATCATTTGTTCATGAGTTTTTTCTGGGCCAGTTACAACTGACTATAAGAAAATAAGTGTAGGGATGTGAGCCTAAAACAGAAACATGGGATGAACGTGTGTCTCAAGACCAGAGATGGACACCAAAACTTGAAGGTGTAGCAATTCGCTGGGCCCTTGTTAATTAAAAAAAACTTCGCAAATGGATAATACAGAAAAGGGATTTGTTGTTAAACAAACACCAGGTACTAACCAAGAATCGCAAATCCCATGGCCTATCTAAGTAGTAGCAATGCTGATTTCTCATATGATGTGCTGAGCTTAGAGACCGTTTTTGGTCCCTTCCGTTTTTTTTGGGATGATTTTCTCCACGAACTGGTTCCTATTCCATTCCCTTTTGGGGATGGGTGGGTAACCGCTCAAAAGTTGATAGTTTTCCAGCGATCATGAGGATATTAAAAAAAACATTCATAACCTGCAAAGAAACTGAATATAGTTGTATAATCACTGTATATCCTCATAGATTCTGAAGCCATTTCTCTTGGACATATAGTGGTTGATAGCTGAACACTGCTGAAATCTCTGAAGTCCCGATGTTTGTTGCATGGCTCACGCGGAAGCCGCCGTCAGGCGGCCATCTTTGCGGGAGATCAACAGAAGCATCCTCCAGCGCAAAAGGCGCAGGAGACTCGTGTCCAAACCCAAATCAATCACCATTTGTTTGGGGGAAAAATCAACGAACTAAATGTTTGTTTCATGGAAGGTACCAAGAAACATCACTGGGGGGACCATCCTGTATATATAATATAATATACATATATATATATATTATATATGTGTATATGTTTGTATTATATATATATTATATTATGATATATTAAATTATATTTTTTATAATATATTATATTGTATTATATTAGATTATATTATATTATTTTATATTCTATTATATTAAATTATACTATATTACATTATACTTTGTTGTAGTCCATTATATTGTATTATATTATAGTATATTATATTATATTTTATTATATTATATTTTTTTTTTTATTTTTATTATTTTTATTTTTATGATATTAAATATATATATATATATTATACATATATATTATTATATATATGTTCATACATATATATATTATTATTATTATATATATATATATTTATATTGTATAATATATATATATATTTCAATGGCCATGCAACAGAAACTGATTGATTAGAGGTACCTACATGTACAAGCGCTATGTAAGGGCTATGTAAGGGGGCTTCATATAGTACAGTACCTCCATTTTAGGATCCTGGAATTCCCATTTATTAGGGATGATTTCTTGTTTGGGTTTTACCACAATAAAACCAACACATTAATTCAATATGACACCAATTGCCCCAAAGATGTAGTATACCCACTAATAAACCTATGTATATATATATATAAATATCTCATGTATAGATAGATAGATAGATAGATAGATAGATAGACAGATAGATAGATAGATAGTTAGATAGATAGATAGATAGGGATGGCTTGCCACAGATGAAGCCAAGAAATACAACAAATACACCCAACATTACACAAAAAATGGCAATAACTGTAGTATACCCAGTAACAATTTGACCGATAGCCACATCATCTTCCTGGCACCGACTGGTTAGATACGAACTGGCCTGGCCTGGCACACGGGAAAGAGCGGCCTGGGACTGGCCTGGCATAGCGCGCAACTGTCAATATCAAGTGTTGACATCGACATTTATACATGAGCATCCATCAATCAATCTGTCTATCCATCTATCTATCCATCTATCTATCCATCTATCTATATCTATCTATATCTATCTATTTCTATCTATATCTATCTATATCTATCTATATCGATATCTATCTATATCTATCTATATATATCTATATCTATCTATATCTATCTATCTATATCTATCTATATCTATCTATATCTATCTATATCTATCTATATCTATCTATATCTATCTATATCTATCTATATCTATCTATATCTATCTATATCTATCTATATCTATCTATCTATCCATCTATCTATCTATTCATCTATCTATCTATTCTATTTTATTCTAACCTATTCTATCTATCTATCTAATCTATCTAATATCTATCTAGTATCTACCTATCATCTATATATGTGTCTGTCTGTCTATCTACCTATCTATCTCTATCCAACTATCCAACTATCCAACTATCTATCTATCTTTCTATCTATCTATCTACTCTACTCTATTCTACTCTATTCTAGTCTATTCTTGTCTGCTCTATTTTACTCGATTCTATTCTATTCTAATCTATTCTATCTAATCGATCTAATCGATCTAAACCATCTAATTTATCTAATCCATCTAATCCATGCAATCTATCCAATGTATCCAATCTATCCAATCCGTCCAAGCTATCCAATCTATCTAATCTATCTAATCTATCTAATATATCTAATATATCTATCATCTATCTATTTGTCTGTATGTCTATCTACCTATCTATCTATCAACCTTTTTATCTATCAATCTATCTATCTATCTTTCTATCTATCTATATATATATTTTTATCTACATATAATATATATATATACACATTTATCTCTATTTATATCGATATCTATCTATATCTATCTATATATATCTATATCTATCTATATCTATCTATCTATATCTATCTATATCTATCTATATCTATCTATATCTATCTATATCTATCTATATCTATCTATATCTATCTATATCTATCTATATCTATCTATATCTATCTATATCTATCTCTATCTATCTGTATCTATCTATATTTATCTATATCTATCTATATCTATATTTTCTTTCTATACCTACCTATCTATATATATATATATCTATATCTCTCTATCGATCTATCTATCGATCTATCTATCTATATGTATTAGCGGAACAATAAAGTAGTGGAGAGTGGACTTGGGATGTTCAAATTTGTGCAAAAACATTTGCAATCGATAGGGGACCACCCACTTACTGATACCATATTTTTACACATAACATAGCGTGGAAGTACAAACCACCCATTGCGGGTAGTAAGTAATTGCGGGTAGTAAGTCATTTTGTCCGCCACCCATATATATATACATACATAGTGAGACAAACCTACATATGTATTGACAGAGATATCTGTCACCAGGTGTTGATATTCGGATTGCCCGCGTCTCGAGAGGAAATGCCCCTGAACGCAAAACCACCACCGCCACCACCAAAGAAGGCAGCAGGCATGGACTCCGACGGATGTGGGTCAACTTTAATCCAGACCGCTCGAGGAATGATTCAATGATTCGTGATCACCATCTGGTTATTTAACAGTTTGCCATGGAAAATAACCATTTTCAACAGGTGAACCATCTATTTCTATGGGCCATCTATAACATGGCTATGTCAAATAACCAGAGGGTATTTTTTTCAGCAACCCCCAAAAAGATAGACACGTTAAATCCGATGAACACTGTGTATATTATTATAGACTTTGGGTTACCAATCCCATCCCCCGTTCATATTAAACACCCCCTAAACGAAACCATGTTTTTTTGTTGGGAATTTTCACATAATTGGGACCATTATGGGGTGTTTGATATTAGGGTGATGGGATTATAATTACTTATCTAAGGATTTGCTTTGCTGCATGCTATGTCAGCTGAGATTGTCATCGCCGCCGCAGCCAACTTGGTCCCTTGCCGGGGCTATCGTGGGCTGTACCGCCCAGAACGAAGTTTCGCCATGGTGTTCAGATGGCTCGCATGGCTGTCACCGGTGGCTGCAATCACGATTCAGGACCACTGCTCTTGGTCCGGAAATCATTTGAGTTATATAGTTGCACCCCAGAAAATTTGATGTAGGAGGTGTCAAATTTGAACGCAGAAATGATGATGGCAACCAAGTTGTGGACCCAAATGGTATTCTCAAATGCTTGACTGAGCTCCCACGTTTGAGAGAACACATTTGGCAATGTTCAAACGATGAACCCCTAGTATAATCGAGTATAATTACTGGGTTATCTCATCTAAGATGATCTACTGCAGTCATTGTCCATGGATTTTAGCCTCGAAGCACACATAGCATTCAGCACCTTCCGTAGGTTCATCATGAGAAATGCTAGTGATGATCCGTAAAATTATCACATGCGGACGGGCTGAAACCTTTGGGAAATATTGTTGGTTGCTATTTCCATGGGTTGTGTTGTTCTTCATGAAATATATGTCTACTGTGATACTTAATCATGATATGATACTAATTAAAATAGGTTGGCACTATATGTATAGATTATTTATATACTAAGCGCTGACACGCTGATATTACTAAACATGTTGACACTATATTTGAAATCTTTTGAAATCATCATTGATAGTAAGATAGTCCTATGATTATGTTGATTCCCAACTCTATCCTCACCAGAACCATGATTTCACTTGCTGCTTCACCCCAGTTAGTAAGTCGATTGGTTATACCTCCATTATAGCTGGATGAGGTCTATAATTGCCCTTTTGGTTTAACGTGTTTGATAGCATGTTTCAACATATGTTCAAACGGGTATGAATACAAAACAAGCATACCCCAATACTTGGGGACAGTTAATACTAAAAATAGACTAAACTTGATGGTCCAATGTATTTCATTATTAACCATAAAACTTGATGGTCTAAGGTCCCTAAATTTTTACTTGTCCAATCTATAACCCATCTATCGGGGGAGTGAACCACCGAAGCACCACGGAGTCCTTCAGGACCTGCACAGTCGCGCGGTCAGCAACGTGTCGTTGGCGGATGGGGCCATGGCCTGTGAACGACCGGCTGGTTGGTGTGCCACTGCCAGCATGAGTCTGGGACGAATCAGACCGGGCAGAAGTCGAGACGGTCAACTTCTCGAATTTACCTGGCCTGGTAAACATACAAAAAGCTATTGAAAATTGCCCATTGAAATAGTGGAA